ACCTACATATTTTATGATGTGTCATTGAAAAGAAAACTAGTTATATGTCTAATATAGTCTATAGCCCTATGCACAAAGGACTAGTATTATCAAGGGACCTCATATAAATTGTAATATTTGCAGAGGACGTCTGTGATCTTAATCCTGTGGGAATCCTTCAAGTTCGTAATTTCTATAGTAAAATTACAAATTTAGGGTGTCCTGGAAGCTCACTGGGTTTTTAGCTTTTTTAGCTGACCCCTGGGCAGGTCCAGACTCGAGACATTTTTGATATTGTCTTGGACATGTTGATGTTTGCACTCGACCTTGGTCATTCTTTTTGTGTTGACGAGTCCAGAAATATAGTTGTTGGTTTTTTTCTGAAGGAACTTTCTCTTCCAAAACGAAACCATTGATGAAGCATATTTCAGAAAGTGCATATTAATTCAAAGCCCATCCAGAATTGAAGTAGTAAGTAATCCAATACTTAAGTAGTTTCTTTACTACTAAATGTATTAATTGATGCATTATAGAACATAGTGCTAATTAAAATGATTGTTAATTAATCCACTACAGCTCTTCAATAATTGGAGTTTAGAACAGTCCAGGTCAGCGATAGGTTTCTGAACCATCTCTGTCTGTCTGATCCATCTTTGTCTTTGTTTGAGGCTCCAGAAATGGCTCTTCTAATCTAGCTAATTGCTGTTTCCCAGAGCTCGGCATTTATGAAGAAGAGCCGGGTCACCAAACAGCCGTTGATCAAAACATCCTATTAAGGTGAAGAAACAAAAGGCTCTTACAATCCGAACAATGTGCCACTGGTGATTCAACAGTTTGCTCCGTGGGCACAAAGCATTAATTAGGGCAATAACTTCATGCCATTGCCGTTCTATAGTCTCCATTTCTGTATGAGTGCATCTATTTATGCTCTGAAGTTTGCCGGGGACTCTGACTTGCCGAGTGTGCCGCATTCCCCTATTCCGTGTGCAGATGTGTTATTGGCATAATGAGGAAAATACTTTGGGAAACTTGGGAGAGAGGCCCCCAACTCCAGAACTTTCTTGACAAAATAATATACCTCATTGTGGTCGCTCCTAACGAGAATTGACATAATTACTTGGGCCCATTTCGTGTCTAATTAGCACACTTCCACAGTGGACAGCCAGGGACTAGCAGTTAGTCAGGAGAAGGGAATCGGACAGGCATGGCAGTAACAACACAAAAAGGGGCCTCTGGATTCAGCGTAATTAGGTGAGACAATGCCCCTGACTGTTTTGAGCTCTGGCAGCGGCTCAGAGCTGGGGCCAAGCAGGCGAGCTGGCTCCCCGAGACCCTAATAAGCCCCTAATTGTCTTTTTTTGATTCACATGAGCAGCACCAGACATGAAGACTGCCTCTTCTTGGTCTCCTGCAGAGAGCGAATTTGAGTCGCCTCACTCAGGACCTTCACGGTTTGGCCCTCAAACTCCAGACAACTTGCGTTTACCCTCTTGTGACAGCTTCTCAAAGCTGGAGGAGCTGCCAATGTGTTGGAAACAGAGATGCAGGGGCAGCTATGTTTATTTAAAGCAGTCCAAAGTTGCATCAAATTGACTTCATATTATCTTCTGGTTTAATGATGGATGCCTAGTAACATTTAATATCAGTTAATATCATTTCACATCGTTTAACAGAAGACAAAACTCTTTAAAGCAGTTTTAAGTGTTTTTGTGTGCCACTTTAAAAACAACACTGACTTATTATCAACTTTAAGAACACGGAGCAACACTAGCATTCATTTGGAGATGGGTTTCTAGTTACCTGACAATTTACTTACTCTGTTTTTTGGTCTCTGACAACTCCTACCTTGCTCTTATTATTATTAAAAATGCTCCACTATGTTCATCAGCTAGTCGCCAATTTTGTCTGCTGTGTGGTGCTGATCAGTAGAATACAGTGGGTTTATCGGAGCTTTTTGATGCTGATGAGAGCGTTGAGAGTAAACAAGAACCAAAACAATAAAGTTGTGGGGTTATAACACCAAAACAATGAGCTGAAAGACACTAAAACGTTCTGTTGAGCTGAGAAAAAACCGCTGCAGTCAGGTGATCATTTAGGGTTGTTATAGGGATAACACTATTGTCATTGTCATGAAGTGACACATGAATTATTTTATTAATTTATTAAAGTAAACTATTTACATAATAATAAATTAATATGTGGACATCAGTGAAATCAGCAATGTAGGTGTGTGCATGTAAACTAAATACACAGGACCATGCAGGAGCTGAGATAGAGAGGGACTGAGCAGGCCAGCTTTAAAGGTTTTCCAGCCCAGCATTCCAGCAAACCTCCTCTCACTGACGACCTCCAATCTGCCTGGCTCATTCCTGAAAGGGGAAGAAAACAGGCAGAGCCTGCACAGGAGGATTCATCACAGCAACCTCACAGACTTGAATATTGAGTAGTGTGTTCTAACTGCACTGTATGTGGATTTTGTGGGAAAAAGGTGGAGCCACTAAGACCAGCCTTCTTTCTAATGGCCAGCAAAGGGCGACTCTACTGGCTTCAAAAAGAAATGTGATACTGTCGAGTCTTATGAAAAAATGGCCCCACTCCTCATGTGATTTCTTAGCTCAGTAAACAAAAGGTTCAAAATGGTTTTCCGGCCCAAAATGCATTGCGTCCAATGGTGGTCTGCGAGGCAGGCGGTTCGAGGCTCGCCAGCTGGTAAGAGGTATGGTTGGTTAAAATAATTAAGAATGATGACAAGTGAATGTGAAGCAGGACCAGGGTGTTAAGGTAGAGTTAAGAGGAAAAACACAGGAGTTCACATATATAATGTACTGTATATATATATATACGTTTAATAATTTTTTTAATTTAATAATTTAATAATTTACATTTGCGATACCAGATTTTCATTCAGCAGTAGCTCGGATCAGTAATGTCATCAGTATAGTCGTGGCGATGAGAAGATGTATGGCTAAATTGGCAAAAATGGGCAAATACCCTGATGGTGGGTGGCCTATGACGGCGCCCACCTGTCACTCAAATCGGCCATGCCATTAATTTTGCATAACTTTAACGTTTATTTCTGCTGTAAAATTGGGCATTTTAATATGAGGCCTTATGGAGACTGACTCTCTTCAGTAGCCAGCCTCAAGTGGCCGTTTGAGGAACTGCAGTTTTTGTTACTTCAGTGTTGGCTTCATTTGCCAGCCACAGAGGTTGCTGCTTGTTGAAAACTCCAGGAAATGTATGCAGACATGCAGTTCTTCTTACCAAAAATCCATAGACATACTATAAGGCTGATGCTTACATGACAAATGGGCAAATCTTGGTGATTTTTAAAACATTAATGTCATGCATTTAACATTTAGTACAACTTTATTATTTAGGGGGCTTCCGGATAGCTCACCTGGTAGAGCTTAGTCATTGCTGCAGCATATTTGACCTGACCATGTTGTGTCCTCCCCCTCTCTCTGTTGCTGATATGCCCTGACTATAGCGCTGCCTATGGCGTACAGTGGTCTGTAGTGCTTACCAGAGGGGAGAAGTTGGGACAGGTTGTGGAAACATCACTGTTGGCAAAAGTGTTTTTTTCTTTGTACAGTCTTGTACAGTTGTACAGTCCGTTGTGTGCTGTTCCCATCCTGTTTGGTGGCAGATCCAAACCAGACAGTGATGGATGGGCAGAGAACAGACTGAATACTGGCAGAACTGGAGCAGGTTGAACTTCCTGAGCTGAGAATTTTTTGTGTGTATGTTTATGTTTATTAATAGTGCAACATAAGTTATTAACAACAACAAACAAAAAAAATTTAAAGAAATCCAATGGTCCTATTACAGCCTATAATGCGAGTGTGAATGCGAAAGGTTTCTTCCACCATTGTGAGTGACTTCTGACAGCAAAGTTGGCAATTTGAACAACTTTGACGCTAACGAGTCTGTCTGTAGCTGCTCAGTTTTAGCTAACACTGATCATTCCTTTCATCAGTTAAAATGCAAAATGTAGTCAGTAGCAAGTTATATCAGCTGTTGCTAATTAACATTAATTCGTTGAGTGGCTTAAATTGTAACCTTTTCATTCTCTGACAGCTGGTGTCTGACCTCTGCCAAAGGTCATTTGTAAGGGAGGAAGCTCCACCAAGTGGATTGTTTTGTTGTTCCAAGCTTTCCGGATGTTGTTCCAAGAACTCCTGATTGTGTCACATTACTTCCAGTGAAAGGTCCAATGTATAGGATTTAGTGGCATCTAGCAGTGTAGTTACAGATTGCAACTCGCTTCACTTTCCACTTCCAAAAAGAGAAACTACAGTGGTTGTGGAACACAGGCCTTTCTAGAGCTAGTGTTTGGTTTGTTTCCAGACTACTGTAAAAACACAGCGGTTCATGGCTGACTACATGGACGGCGAACCTATTCTTATTTTAATTTATACACTAATGAAAACATGCCTATGAATATTGTATTCCATTCCATCCTTCCATTCCGTCAATACATCCTCCTAAATGTTACACACTGAACCTTTAAAAATATGAATAACGTTGATCACCTAATAATCCTAAAGAGAGCACAAGATATATTGAGTTTCATCTACTGTGGAGTTGGATTATATTGGTTCTGTTAAAGTATTTTTGTTTGGGATGAAATGTGGTTAACTTATGAGTCCAGTGTGGTTCCCTCTTGTATTGCCATTGAGTGAGAGAAACAGACCTCAGCAGTGGAAATATTCCCCTATCTAGAACCAGTGTTTGTCCCAACATGGTGGACTTTCAGGTGATCATACATTAATGAAAATGTACCTATGAATATTATATTCAATTTCTGACAATAGATCCTCTTAAATCTCACACTGTACCTTTAAGCTTTTATTCATATCATATTAATAATTTAAGTGCATGAACTTAATAGTTTTGAATCAGGACCGTTAGTACTGAAAAAGCTGCTGTTATTCCAGAATTACCAGACACGTGCAGTATTTACTGTAATACTGTAATACATTAACTGATCTGTGCCTTTTTTTTTCTGTGCCCACAGATTCCGGTGATGACAGGCGCCTTCATGGACTCATCTCCCAATGATGACTACAGCACCGACCATTCTCTGTTCAACTCGTCCGCCAGCGTCCACGCTGCCTCCATGGCAGTTCACAGCCAGCCTGAAGAGCCCCAGTCAATGTCTGGGGACGCCATTTGGCTCTGGATCGCCATCACTGCCACCATTGGGAACATAGTAGTTGTGGGTGTAGTGTACGCCTTCACATTCTAAGAGCTCTGAGCCAGGATGTTTGAAAGAACGTGGGGTATAGTTTCTGACTGTATGAGCAGCAATGTGCTGTGAGCACACTCTCTGTCAACCAGATGACTCACCAAATGGAAATTTGTCATAGAACACAGCAAAATTACCCAGCAGTCATCAGTCGCAAAGCACTTGAGTCATAATCTGCCAATGCAGTGTAGAAGAGTGGAAAAAAGTGTATATATTACATATATTTCTGAGGATATAAAGGTGGTAATAGCAGACATAAAGTAAATATGTCTTATTTCTTCAGTGCGTTTATGTGCTTCAAAGTGTGTTTCTGTTTTCCTTTAATGGCCGATATATACTTAATATACTGAAAAATGTTTACTTACAGTTTTTTGCAGGGACTTGTGTGAAGGCTTCAGGGTGGGGGTGATGGATCGGACAAGGCACCCTTCTAAAGGAGGCGTACCCCTGTAGGACTTCTGAAAAAATTATGTAATACTGTAGGAAACATCAGGGTAGTGTGTGAGTTGGTGTGTTTGGCTGGCTGTGTAAGCTCAGCAGAAGAGGTGAGCAGATACTGTTTTGTTCCATTATTCCATTAGAAAAACTTTTATTCTGAAACAACAGATTCAAGGACAAACATTCCAACTTTTCAAACCCTTGAAATATTTAAATGTGGTGTTATTTTGTGTTTTTACTGTTAACCCTGTCTGTAAATTTCCTGTTTCCCATTAACGTTTGGCCAAAGACACTTTATTTGTAACTGTAACAGTACTTCAAGATTCAAGAGGTTTATTATCAGAAACACAAAGTTTGTACGTACAATGAAAATCTTACTTTGCCCGACTCCCTGAGGCAAAACACAAGTAGAAGAGTAGAATATAAAACAAAAAATTTTAATATAAAATATAACTAAATATAACATAACTTACAACTTAAAGTGAAGAACACTGTACAGTAAACAAAGAAACCTGAGTTGAATAAGGTGCTCTATGCCTCACAGTTACACTTAAGGTGCTGTGTGACATTACATCACAGTGGGAGTAAATTGGTGTGGGCTGTACTGTTTTAGAGAGTTACTTGTAAATCAACCTAAACTGTGGTTTCCCCTATGGCGTTAGAATTATGTCATATGTCACAATAAAATGGAAGCAGAGCAGCCGGAGGACATCAGAGGGCAAACCAGAAAATATTTACTCCATCAAATATGATCCAGTTTGACCAAAAACCGTAAATAAAGTTATGAAAGTTGTACTGTAATTAGTTAGGCCCTAGGTCCTCCGAAACATTCCACTCCAGACTTAGAGACTTAGACTTAGACTTCACTTTATTGATCCCTTTGGGATGACTCCCTTAAGGAAATTGAATTTCCAGCAGCTTACAAAAAACTTATAAAAAATGAAAGAGGTATAAAAAAAAATACAATAAAATACAATATAAGATAAACTCTTAGCTAAATATAGAAAGTAAACAATAAACAGTAAATAAACTCCATGATATTTTCACAACTTGCCATCAGACCAGTGCCAGAAATAATATAAGATAAGAAAAGATAAGATAAGATGACTTTATTGATTCCACACTGGAGAAAATCACTTGCTACAGCAGCTCCAGATACAACACAACAGATAAGAAAAGTACACAATAAATAAAACGCTATTTTACAGCTTTTATACAGATAAGGTCACGTTAATTTGGATCACTGAATTCAAACAATAACACAAACAAACAAACCAAGTGGTAGTGAAGATGTGTTATGTTTGATA